ATGCGCATTTGCAACACAACAATGGCGGTTCACGGATTTCGAAATACGACGAAGCATGAACTTTGGAGAGGTTGTACTTCAATTTGTGCAACTATTTCGCTTGGGGGGAAGTGGATTCTAACTAAGTAAGTTCTAATCTATCCATTCATGTAAAAATTATGTAGTTACACGAGGGGTGCTACGGAATTGAACATTTTCGACCCTCATCCAACGGCCTATTATGATGCACGACAGCCTGTTGAATTTCCGTAGCGTTTTTTTTTAAACACCCTGTATATCAACACGGAAGATGTTTTATATTTAACAAATATAAAACATTTTCCGTGTTGATATACAGTTATATCAACACGAGTGGAAATTGGGAAAACGAGAAATTGTGTGGAAACACGACGCCCGAAGGGCGGAGTGTTTTCACACAATTTCGAGTTTTCCCAACTTCCACGAGTGTTGATATAACGATATATCAATACGGAAGAAATGTTTTATATTTGTTTTATAATATAGCAATGTCAAAAGCCCGAAGAATAAGAAAAAGTTCCGTGTTTACAAGCGGCGGAAAATTTCCCGTGTTGACATGGAGTTATATCAACACGGCTCTTAGCCAATCAGCGTTCAGAATTTACAAATGCTATATTATAATTGTTAAATATTACACGGCGGCGCGAAGATATGGCTTTTATCTTCGAGTAGTAAAAACAATATTTTACGAACGAGCGCAGCGAGTGAGTAAAATATTGTTTTTAAGACGAGAAGATAAAAGTCATATCTTCAAGCCACCGTGTAATGTTCTGTTTATTATATAGTTCTCAAGATCCCCTATATTCTTTTTACATGAAGTACTCAGTTATAGAAAAGCAAGAAATCCAAGTCAGTGTCTTCCCTGGAGTACCCTGGAACCAGAGGGTATTTATTTTCGCCTGTTTTGAATAACCCTCTGGTGAGATTGGCTGAGTTTTGGGGGTCACATTCCACACATAACTTTCAAAATTGGAACCTAGAAGTTGATTGGTTGCTGACTATAGGTTCGATAGACTACGTGTTCTGATTGGATATTGTAAACATCATAGCCTGTTCGCAGGCGTTTCGTGTTTTGAATGAATTGAAACATTTGAATTTTGAAATGTCTATATTGACTATATTATTAGATAAACGAACAAAAGTTGAAAGAAGCTGTTTTATAGGCTGCATTAATAGATAGATTGATAAATTTCCTGAATTAAAAGTTTAACGGAGCATCAATACCGCGCCTTGTCCAATTTGATTCACATTAAAGATGTATTTGCATCTTGTTCTAACACCGAGAGTAGCACGACGACTTGGCAAAAGCCACAATTTTCTGGAGAAACCCATCTTAATAGTCATTTGCAAATTGAACTCTTTCATTGACTCTCACGTCCGTGAACTAAGAAAGCGTGGATGTCGTGTTACTTCACTGTCAAACGAAGAGGACGAGAAAGCAATACTAGATGGAGAGTTTGCATTCGCATTTTGTAATCCCGAGTCTATTATTCGAAATGCGAAATGGAGAGGAATGATTTCAATCGTTTCATTTGAAATCTACAAGACAAAGTTGCTTGCTTTTGTATTAACAGACAAAGTTCACGTCGGCCCAAAGAGGTGTGTTTAATAAATTTATAAAATACAGATTTTTTTATGTATATTGCAGGATTAAATTGAATGTATATTGCAAGATTAAAGTGAATGAATATAAATATATATTTATATTAAATTGAATAGATGTGATGTTTTAAATTGAATGAAATTTAGGAGAATGAATATTGCTACAAATGGGCAGGCATACACTAGACAGTAAACATGCGATAAAACCCTGTCTAGACGGACTGGCGTCAAGGATAATGATTGGATAATATTTTTAGAATATGATGCATTAAGCAATTATACATTTTTTGCATTCTTTATCCGAACCAGGAATCGCCAACAAATTCACCAGAGGTTTTTCCTTTTTCTTCGCGCGTTTTCTCGCATTTCGCGTAAAAACCTCTGAGCCAGGGTATCCCTGGAGCAATAAGTTGAATCAACATGAACGAATTACGTTTCATTCAAACGTACAACTAGAGACAATCAGGAGCAAAAAATATTGAGACAACCGCATAAATGCCCCCCTCACCCCCAATTCAATGTTGTGTGAATGACTGAAAATAGAAAATTCAATCCACTTTTTCCAATATTGATCATGGGGGCAGGGGGAGGCCGACGTACTTTAAAATGGCCAAATGTGAAAAGTCTCGTTATTTTTGCACGCGATTGTAGGGCCGAGGATAGTGCAAAGTCTCAAATTGAGAAAGACGCTGCAAATGGAAAACGCAGAGTCTCATTAAAATAGAATCTTTGGACAAAATAAACAATTTTTTGACAAACTCCGCGCATTTTCAAACGCGGAGTCTCATTAAAATCGAATCTTTAGAAAAAATAAACTCCGTACTCCGCTACACTCCATACTCCGCCTCTAAACTCTATAATCATTTCTATATTTAGACAACGAAACACGCACGTGCTGTATGTACAAAGTGTTACAGGCTAATTCTGTGGTTTCAGTGTACCGAGTGTCGCCATTATTCTGTGGTGTAGCACCTTGCGCAGTAGCCGCAGTGTATAATGAATATACCGCCTAAATAATATCGGCCTATAATTGAATGCCGGTAATGTATAACATCCTGATAACATAAATTTATATATTGCGTAGAATCTCGTAAAAACACTTTAGGCTATATTAAAAAATTCACCTCGGTAATAGGTCACTATTACTCAGTTCAACGTTAACTAGGTAATAGAACGCTAGCCTATTACTCAGTTCATCTAGGTAATAGAACGCTATTTAACAAAGATAAAACATTTTCGGTGTTGATATATACAGTTATATCAACACGAGTGGAAATTGGGAAAACGAGAAATTGTGTGGAAACACGACGCAATTTCGAGTTTTTCCAATTTCCACGAGTGTTGATATAACTATACTGTATATCAATACGGAAAAAATGTTTTATATTTGTTTTATGATATAGCACAAAGAAATATAAAGAAAGAAATTTACCGACGTTTCCGTGTTGACATTGAGTATTATAGCAACACGGCTCTTAGCCAATCAGCGTTCAGAATTTACAAATGCTATATTATAATATGGTTCATCTCGGTATAGAACGCTATTACTCAGTTCAACTCGGTAATAGAACGCTATTAATCAGTTCAACTCGGTAATAGAACGCTATTACTCAGTTCAACTCGGTAATAGAACGCTATTACTCAGTTCAACTCGGTAATAGAACGCTATTACTCAGTTCAACTCGGTAATAGAACACTATTACTCAATTCATCTTAACTCGGTAATAGAACGCTATTAAGAGGAGATTTTTTGTATGTTACGTAACACACGCTCAAAAATAATGCGTATCTACCACTTGAGGTTATGACTAAATTCAATTTTTTTATTTTTCAATACGTTTCTCAATCGGCAAACAAACTTAAAAAGTATGTTTAGTGCTTTATCTGTAAAATAATACTAAAATGAAAAGATTTTAGATCGTACGTCAAAGAGAAAATGCTGTCTGAAGTTCAGTATGTTTGGCTTATATGGCTGTAAACATGGCGTCAATTTTAAAGCATCGTTGATAATTATATTTTAATTGACAATTTTTAACTATTATTTTATGTTTCTCAACCGGCAGATGCATTTAAAAAGGTTTCTAACTGTATAAACTAGAGAATAAAGCTAAACCAAAGTAATTTTGAAAGGAACGCCAAAACGATTTTAGGTTTTGGACATTTTTCATTGCAAATACGTGACATTGAAAAAAACTGCCTCTTAATCAGTTCAACTCAGTAATAGAACGCTAATACTCATTTCAACTTCGTAATAGAACGCCATTACTCAGTTCAACTCGGTAATAGAACGCTATTAATAAGTTCAACTTGGTAATTGAACGCTATTACTATTTCAACTTTGTAAAAGAACGCTATTACTCAGTTCAACTCGGTAATAGAACGCTATTAATAAGTTCAACTCGGTAATGGAACGCTAATACTCATTTCAACTTTGTAATAGAACGCTATTACTCAGTTCAAGTCGGTAATAGAACGCTATTACTCAGTTCAAACTCGATAATAGAACGCTATTACTCGAGTCCAGTTCTTGTAGAAGAATCGTCGTGCGTTCGGTCGGCGAGAAACATGGAGGGAAGGTAAGAACAAAGACGTTACATACAAAAAATTAATAACATGATGTTTGATGACCATTTTCTTTTTTTATTGTGTATTTATGGTATTTTAGTGTCCCGCAACGTTTGGCAGACTTGTAGCGCAACATTGTTCAACGGTTGGGATTTGTCTGCACCTGAAGAATTAAAAATTTATACGAAGGACGGTGGGGTAGTTCGATGAGGAAGATTTGAAGATGTTCGTGTATGTGCTCTAAATAAAATAAAGACTGGTTCTTGTTATTTTCACTAAAATTCATGATATTTGTTGTGTTGGTGTAATGTACTCAGGTGAATAAGATGCTTGTGTGATGTTACTCTGATTCTTTACCAAGATTTGGATCAGAGTTGTATGTAAAGTAATTAAACGCTTGTTCTAAGTCTTGTTGGAATTCGTTTTCGTTAAAATGTTTAAACTGCCTTGTTTGTCGGGTCAGTTGTTCGGGTTGGCTTATCAATGTGTTGCTGTAGTTGGTAGATATCTAAGGGCCTGTTTATATGAGAGGCGGGACGGGACGTTTGCCGGGACGGGACGTTTGCCGGGACGGGACGATGAACGGGATCCCGGCATGTATATATTTCTATAATATTTTTGCGTTGTGTTTATATGGAAGCGGGACGTTTTTCGTCTTGTCCCGCCTAGGCGGGATCCCGGTTGTAGCAAGCGGGATCCCGCCACAAGCGGGACGTTTTTTTGCCATATAAATGCTCCATCCCGCCTACCGGGACAATATTATGTTGACATTGCATAAATTAGTACTGTCACGTGACATCTGAACGACAATGAAGAAGAAGCTTCACGAGAACGTGACCTGCTTGGTGATCTAGATGATTTTTTTGGTAACCAAGGGCCTGATGATACTATTTCAAACGCAAGCACCAAAACACCAGAATCTGAAAGGGCCCAAACACCACAATCTGAAACACAGAGCACGAAATCCAAAGATCATGCAGCAATACTCGTTGATGACAAGAGAAAGCATCTTGAGCGACGACTATCTGCCTCACAACGAGATTCCCTTCTTCTAAAAGAAGCCAAAGAAGACCGCGAAGAACGTAAAGAATTTCGTGAAATGATGAAAAATGCCAACGATTCCTTTGTGCATGCTTTAGATAATATGAGCCAGTCCATGCTGTCTATAAGCAATGCTATTGCTAGATCTATGGAAGCTTTTGGCAACTCATCACGACTTGCACCTGTGCCTGTGGCAATGCCTTAATACAGCCTGGAAAATCAAGTTTCTCAACAACAAGGTAACGAGTATTTTCAACTGCAGCCAGCCAGATCAGGATTTTGCCAACAAAATCAGTAAACAAACATTTTTTATATGTACATTTTCTGTTTGGGGAAACATTATAAACAACTTTTTATAACTTTAATTGTTGTGTTGGTATTAATCCATGGTATCATACTATTAACATTATAAATATTTAGTCAGGGACAGTACAACAAAGTGCAAAAACACTGACACTGTTCAAAAACCCAAAATATGATCAGACGGATCATATTGTATAAGGAAACATTGATATTGTCATTTCTTAAAAAGGTTAAATTGGTATGAGTACTGTGGATGTGCATTTTAAGTAATAACTTTATTGACCAACTAGCCATAGAGTGCATAAATAATTGATTTCAGAAATTGTTAATGCCATGTGTCCTTTACTCCATTTTTTCAAAGAAAAACAGATTAGTTTGTTGGGGTTTTGCATTAAATTTAGCAAAAAGATGCACACTTAATATGTACTCTACCAGAAGTAAACCTTATATACACTGTATGTTGTTATTTGGTGACAATGGACCATTCCCCAATTAACCAAAATTTTGAACTCAACAAGTCTAGACAAAAATTTCATCACAGCTTTAAAGAGCATCACAACATTAGTAATATTCCAAAGTTTCGTTGCAAAATGTTGTAAAATGCGGATAATATAGCCTTGCGAAATTTGCAATTTTCAGTCATTTTAGATTACAAACGGGAAATGGTTACCACTTCTTTGCGCAATACAAAATGACTGAAAATTACAAACTTCGCAAGGCTATATTATCCACATTTTACAACATTTTGCAATGAAACGTTGGAATATTACTAATTTTGTGATGCTCTTTCATGCCATGATGGAATTTGTCTAGACTTGTTGAGATCAAATGCTGTTTGTTCATGTGTTATTATGATCATCGACAAACTTGTATTCTACTGTTTCATACTGTGTTCAACAATTTCTATATACTCTCGCAGTATATCTCTAACCACTTCGCCTTCAGCCAAACTTCCTGAAAGAACTGGATGTGGCTGGACATTCTCACTTTCATCTTCATTTTTGTGTTGCTCAATATGAAATTTAACAAGTTCATGATCAATTGCACATTTATTAAGCTCACAATAGTTGTGGAGCACAAAGCATGCATAAATAGCAGTAGGGACAAAATCCAAAGCTAAGTCAATCTTCTTGGTAAGAATACTCCATCGAGCCTTAAGCCGTCCGAAAGCACACTCCACTGGATTCTTAGCTGATCTTAACATGTTATTGAATAAAACTTCAGAATTGCAGGAGCATTTCTCATATTCCTTCATACAGTATGCTGTAAGTGGATAGGCTGGATCCCCAATTAGGTAATTGGGAACCTTACTTCTTCCTGGTACAATTTCGTGGTAGGTGACTGGCATTTCCTCATTACGTAACTTAGTACCAATGCTTGATTTGAAAAAACTTTCGCGTCATGCACGCTCCCTGGTCACATGCAGTCTATGTCCATGAACATGCCCTTATAGTCGCAAACAGCTTGAACATTAAGGGAAAAGTATTGTTTGTAACAAAAGTAATCCTAGGAGTCTCAAAATAGGTACATGGGTGCCGTCAATGCAGCGAAAAGCTTGATGCATGCCATGCTTCGATAAAAATTCAAATGCCTTTTCAATCATTTCTTCCACTGTTTGGGGTAACCTGACATATTTTGGGCCCAGCTTATATGTTATAGCTGGGCACACTTCTCTTTTAACCTTAGATACTGTACAAATACTAATACCAAAGGCATTGGCAGTCATTGATAGCGAGCACGGTAGTTGGGAGATGTTGGGTTTGGTGCAATATATGGGTTTAGTTCATTTTCTAATTGCTCAAACTGCTGCCTGAACAGTCTAACGTTTTTCTTCCAATTATCTCCCGGTCATCTCCCTGAAATCATGTTATCCCACCATTTGTCTGTTCTGCCTCACATACCAGGTTGATCGACGTTTTCTGTTGGCTTTTTAACTCTTTTTTTCCAGTAGCTTTCTCGCTGTGTTAAATTTGTAGCGAGAAGCAAGTTGTTTTGGAAGCGAGACTAGAAACAGAAAATTGCTTATTGTGTGCAGAAGATTGATTGCAGCACCTGCCAAAGACAAAAGCGATTGAAATTGGATTTGACGAGAGTTTCTTTTCGATATTTTTAAAATTTTCCCGCTATTTGCAATTATACGTCCCGGGTATTCCCGCGAGGAAACATCCCGTGTGCAAAACTATCATATAAACGCGGGATAAATAACGTCTCGTCCTGGTAAACGTCCCGTCCCGCCTCTCATATAAACAGGGCCTAATAGTACTAATTAGAACTGGCGTAGCTTTCGGTTTTTTAATTTCAAGACAAATTGCCTCTGCATAATAACTGGAATTAAGTCAGCTCTATTAGTATAGGGAATAACATCCCTTAGGTAGATAGCCACTCCTCCTCCATTGCGGTTTCTATCCTTTCTTATTAAATCGTAACCTGGTATTTTAACCTTAGAGTTGTCTATGGAGTCGTCAAGTCGAGTTTCGTTGATACAAATTACATCAAATGGGAGTTTAGCAAAAAAAAAACAATAATTCGTTTTTATGCTTTACCAGACTTGCAATATTTAAATGCCCTATTTTGAATCCCTTGAGTTTTGGGTAAACCTTTTTATATTGGTCCGTGGTCGGAGTAATTGGATCTAGAGGGTTCACATTTTCATTATCGTTAGTCTTAGTATCATCCCCGCCATCATGATCATCATTATCATTGTCGAGTCTACTTTGATCAAGTGATTCAAACTAAGTTATATATAGAGTTCACTGCATGGGCTTTCTTTTTTTATATAGTTATTATGTATAATAAATTTTTCATACTTGTAAATATTCTAACGGCTCCTTGAAAAGCAGTTTAAACTGAAGGGCTACCGTTTTTAAACAAGATGAATAATAATAATAATAAAAAATGAGGATGAAATAATAATAATATTTTAATCCTGTAAAGGCTATAAAAAGCAAACAACTTGCTGTTTTCTGGTTCGCAAAACGTCGGAAATTCAGTTTGAACCGCCATTTGGTTTTTCTCTACTAGCAGGATATGAGCCAATATCCTGTTAGTAGAGAAATAATCAGATTGCATGCAGAATACCTCATATCCAGACCTTGTGTATATAATATATATATATATATATATATATATATATATATATATATATATATATATATATATATATATATATATATATATAGCCCATATAGCCCATAAGGCCGAAACGGTACCGTCTGTAGTTAGATATCGCTCTATGGCCTTTAGGTCATATTGAGCGCTCTACAGGATGAGCCATGCCGCTTACGCATTGCGCACGCTCACTGCTTGCAGTTTGAGCGTTCTGGCATGGTTTTGATGTCCCACAATCGTGAGACATCAAAGGTAACTGTAAATAGCAGTTACTTTCATCCTGCTCATCAGCACTACACTGATGAGGCCCATAAGGCCGAAACGGTACCGTCTGTAGTTATATATATATATATATCTGCAAAATATATCTGCAAAATCTTACCTGCATTGAGCACTCTTCAGATACGTGTCAGCATCGACAAACAAGACATACAAAGCTCCTTCGGGAAAGTTGAGCACTCTAGCCGCCACTATATCACAGTATAGGAAAAGTACAGTAGGGCCACTCAGCGTAAAAAAGTGTCTACATTGTTTACTGGCTGCCAACCTAATTTACATATTGGCAGCCAGTAAACGACAGCAGTCCACTATAAAATTGTACTACAGAATAATGATTTTGGCCGCGTAAGACACCTGGAACCTAGCTTAAATAATTGCCACTTTTCTCTCCCCTAAGTGGCCCTACTGGTTGTCTCCCTATACTGTGACTATATCACACCTTAGACTTTGAAGCATGATGGAGAAAATAACTCTCAATTACTCTACGAAAAACATTCCATTGCCAAGTAAAAGCAGTTATATTGCGAAGCTATATTACCCAAAGTAGAAAGCGTCATCCGGAGAATGCGTTGGAAAGCCTTCTTCCACCTCAACCCATCCGAGAACCATAACCGTAAAAACACTTATAACATACCCTCGCGAAAGAACCCTCGCGAAAGAACCCTCCGCAAGTTATCCTACTAAAGCCATTTGAGGATGACCTCTTACGCATGGTTGAATCCATTCAGTATCGTAAAGTGTCCAGCAGTTTTCAATCTACACTACGGCAAGACGTCAACAAGATTAAATCGTCGGAGAAAGTCGTAGCCTTTGCGGACAAAACAAGAAATTTATATGAAATGGAAAAAGATCAATACGAAAAGCTATTGCGAGAGAACATCACGAAATGCTACAAGAAGACCGAAGATTCACCTGTAAAGGAAATCGCCCAAGAGCTATCGAGTATTTGCGAGAAAATCGGCATCAGCGACAGAGTAGAGTCGATGGGAAAGCAACAAGCATTTATCACGGTAAAGGACCACAAAGACAGTTTTCCAAACTCGATACCATGCAGGCTCATCAACCCGGCGAAAAGCAATCTTGGTCGCGTAAGTAAACAGATTTTAGAAAGAGTCAACCAGAAAATTAGGTCCTATACAAAGTTTAGACAGTGGAGAAACACACAAGCGGTCATAGACTGGTTTGACAGCCTGGAGGAGAAACAATCATTATCATTTTTAACTTTTGACATTGTCGAGTTTTACCCCTCGATATCAGAGCAGCTTTTACACAACGCTTTACGGTTTGCCAGCCAATTTGAATCTATTACAGCCGATGAAATAGAAATAATTATGCACTCAAGGAAATCCCTATTGTTTGATAAGAATGAGCCTTGGGCTAAGAAATCCAACCGCAGCCTATTTGACGTGTCAATGGGCAGTTTCGATGGCGCCGAAATCTGCGAGTTGGTCGGGCTTTTCGCACTTAGCAAGCTCAACGAAAAATGCAGTAACAACATAGACATTGGCCTATATCGAGACGACGGATTGGCCGCCATCCGTAACGCGCGCCCTAGAACAGGAGACAGAATCCGCAAGCGGTTCTGCGAGGTTTTTGCAGAATTGGGATTAAGAATAACGGCTCAAGCCAATCTATACGTGGTCAACTTTCTAGACGTCACCCTAAATCTATCCAATGGCAAATACGTGCCATATAGGAAACCAGATGACCCGCCATCATACATCAATTCTCAATCGAACCATCCACCTCCCATACTTAAGCAGCTACCATCGACTATATCCAAGAGGGTTTCGTCGCTTTCATGCAACCCCGAGGAATTCGCTAGAGCAGCCCCCACCTACGATAGCGCCCTTCAATGTAGTGGGTTTACCAGCAAACTAGAATATTCCCAACCATCACCCCCTCGCAGGAACCGCAGAAGGAATATATTATGGTTCAACCCGCCGTACAGCATGAATGTCCGAACGAACGTCGGCATGCATTTCCTGCAATTAATAGACAAGCATTTCCCAATAGGCCACCAGCTACGGCCAGTCTTTAATAGAAATAGCTGTAAAGTAAGCTATAGCTGCATGGATAACATAGAATCTATAATCAAGCAACATAATGCTAAAATTCTTAAACCCAGCCCGACAAATGACGTTAACAGTCAGTGTAATTGCCAAGACGAGAATAACTGCCCATTAAACAATGCATGCAAGACAAAGAGCATTGTATACCAAGCTACAGTGACCCCATCGAACCAGCCATCTAAAATATACATAGGAATGACAGAAAACGAATTCAAAACGCGGTACCGAAACCACAAATCATCCTTCAACAATGTTGAGCACGCTGGAAGTACAACGCTCTCGAAGTTCATCTGGGAATTAAAGGAATCCGACACAGCTTACGCAATCGAGTGGAAAATCCTTAAGCGTGCAAATGCTTATAGGAGTGGAGGAAAGATATGCAACTTGTGCCTATCCGAGAAAATCTGCATTTTAAATGCAGATAAACAATCACTACTGAACAAAAGATCAGAATTAATAGCTAAGTGTTGTCACGAAAGGAAATTTTACGCTTATAACTACAATCCACCGTAAAAGCACTTTAGTCTGATGATCGCCTTTGTGCGTGAAACTCGAGTAACTTTTATCGTAAATAGGTTTAGGTTTTATTAAATTATCTTCAGATATCATGTCTTAGTCTACACCATATATATATATATATATATATATATATATATATATATATATATATATATATATATATATATATATATATATATATATATATATATATATATATATATATATATACTGTACTGTACTGTACTGTCTTGTGTTAGGTTGTATCATTTTGTATTGTATTGTTTTTGTATTGTATTGTATGGCATACATGTCATTTTGTGTAAATTTATTAAATGGCGAAGTTATATAAAAAAAAGTTTAAAAAAAGAAAAAAAAGAAAGACCCTGGCAATAGCTGGTCACGTGGCTCCCAGATTCTGGGTGCTAAATTGAAATTGTAATTGGGGAGAGGTGGTCGAGGAGTGCGCTTGTTTTGCTTGGAAAATTTATACAACTTGTGTGTTATAGTTTCGGGCGATAAAATTTAAATTTGCAACACGAAATCCTGAAATATTTTGTATTTTGGGTTACATTAGTCAAGCGAGAAATTGGATGAGATCGATTTCAGTGGACGTCATACCCTGGTTCCAGAGGCTCTTTGCAAGGCGAAAATAACGAGAGGCGAGAAGGAAGAGCCTCTGGTCACATCGGTTGCAAATCCCACTTCCACACTTGATTAGGTTCAGAATTTGAAACTCGCATGTGATTGGCCATTTGTAAAATTATGTCAAACCGGTTTGGGAAATAAACATTACTGCAAACTAATCATAGCTCTATTATAGCTATAATTAGCTTGCAGTAATGTTTATTTCCAAAAACCGGTTTGACATATTTTTACAAATGGCCAATCACAAGCTATGATTAGCTTGCAGCAATGTTTATTTCCCAAACCGGTTTGACATATTTTTACAAATGGCCAATCAGATGCGAGATTCAAATTGTGAACCTATAATCAAGTGTGGAAGTGGGATTTGCAACCGATGTGGCTTCAAAATATCACCACATATAGATACTATCAGCGTTTCAACCTCATCTTTAAGTTGATGAAGTAAAGGTGTTTCACTCTGAAACAGTACTGTAGATTCAAGGATGCAAATCTACCCAAGGAATAGTCCATGAACTCTAAATAAGCTTTTGTATATTTGTTGTTAAGGCTTCTGAGGATAGATTAATTTGTGTTGGTCGGATCTTCCATGCCTTCTGAGGTAAAGCTTCAGTGCACTGTATTGCTCTAGAATTCTTTTGACTGCACCTTTCATTGAAAGCCACCTTGTTTGACAAGCTTTTAGGATTTTATGCTGCTGAAGACTGAAAAACTCTTGAAACTCAATAAAAGCTTCAGTCCTCTTTGGAGACATGCTAAAGTGGAAATATATATTACGACATAGGTATTCCAAAGGTGAATCATGTGACATGAACATTTTACTACCATAATCCACGGATAATCCTTTACTAACATCCGCGCTACAGAGTGGTTCTTCACAAACATGACATTATACGTATCAGAGGAAAATCCAATCACATTTTCCATTGGAATACACTTGTCATTCAAGCATTTAATGACACTTTCGTAGATAGTTGTCGCAGTTCCATTTGGCAGCGTTATTAGATCAATAAAAAAAGTATCCAACTTGAAATTTTCCTCGTCGAAATGTGTCCCAAGTATAGCCAATTGCGTCTTCGTTGAACGGTCAGTTGTTTCGCCGATTATCAATGAAAATGGATTAGTTTTCAATTTAGTAATGACTTTTTTTATTGAGTAAAACCCAAGCACTTGACGTATGACATTTGTTGCTTTTTGTTTGCCAAGTTTAACATTCTGTAACGACCCTTCTGAAGGAAAGAGATTTTTTAACAAAGACTTTTCTTCTTAGTTGGTGGTTTAACTTTTTTCCTTTCTCACTGTCCGTATCATCTTCATCGAACTCTTCGTCGGAATTGCTGTTATTCATTATTCAAAATCTTTCCGGTTTTTTAAATTTTCATTTTAGATTTAGATTTTACAGTAACATTTTCAATGATTTACAATTACGAAAGAAGGAATCCTGCACTTTGGGGAACTGGTCAGCGAAGACAAGTGCAAGTACGTTGTGTAACACTGCAGAAACAAACTGATTTGTTAGTTATTACACGAAAATGAAGAAACTTAATTCTCGTTTCAAGATTTCGCATTAATTTTGTGTCAATTTCCTGATTTTCCTTAGATTTCCTTAGAATTTTTCTTATCCTGAGAATTTTCTTTTTAGCTCAGGATTTCCTGAGAATCAGGAAATTTCCTTAGAAATGGAAGCACTGCCTTGAAGAGATACGAAACAGCTGGTTCGATTAAACCGAGGGTGTCATATAAGCGCTCTCATGTTGGGAAAATATAAAAAATACATATAACGTAACAATAGTTCTTTAATAATTTTAAAAACAATATTGTATCAATAATCAGCACTTTAAATGTATACATGGAAAACCGGAAAAACCACTTGCGTTTTGGATAATTGTTGCATAATAACTTTCTAAACGATTAAACCAAACTCTCTTACATGAAAAATGTGAGCTTGTGTCAGCATCTCCCTAATTCTTGTCGGCGTTTGCACCAAGGACACTACAAAATATGCCTAAACAAGCAGTATTGGCATGGAAGTAGACGTTTCCTGCTCGCTCCTTTATAGCTCCTGTGTTGGTAGGGTAGAGACTTGCATTCGATACTATAACGAGGTCACAAGGGGGTCCTCCGTTTGTCCTCAGGTTTAAGGGCCTGTCCACACCCGAAACAGGTTTTCACTTGAGGTGGACAAAACTGTAGAAGGTTTAACATACGGTATATGAACCGAACAGAGGGTTTGTGAGATTATTTAACAATTATTGAATTCGGTTGTCGCATGATGTGAAGAAGAAAAAATGATTTCATTAATATTATTAATATTAGCTATAATATTAATAATATTATTAATTTTATTATATTTATTTATTTTTAAAATTATTTTCAATAATTTTTAAAAAATGTCCGCCAGTCCGCGCCCGCCGTTTGTTTACACCCTGCGTGCGTCAACGCAGTGTCTCTGTATCATTTATTTTAATTGTGGCTGTGGGTTTAGAGACGGTGCTTAATATTCTGAGTAAAAGAGTTGTAAATTGTAGATGTACTCATGCAGACCGACTTGAGATTTGATTTGATGAGATCGTGATTGAGTTGTAGAACTGTTGTAGATTAGTTTAGATTGTTTAATTAAAGATCGAAAAGAATTGTTTCAGATTGTTTATGTTTTTTGTAACGTAAATAGAAAAAAAGAGAATTAACTAAAAACCGATAATACACGTACAGTCCCTTGACTGTAGAACTAGCGTGTGCGAACTTCCCTGATCGCGCTTGTGGGTAAAGTTTGCGAAAACATTGTCAACGTGATTGAATTGCATGCATGCGGTGATCAGATTTATGTATTTGATCCCATAATTAGTACAGTCACTGATATCTATACAGAATTATAATTTTTAACTACAGTAGAGCGAGAGTACAGTGTTATTAAAAAGCATAGTGTATAATTTAAAATGAGCTGCCTCATACCCAGACACTCTATCTAAAGAGCTACATCCAAACAATGCGGTGCCCTGGAGCATGCGCAAAACAAGTGCACCAAGGAAATGCAAAGGCATACTATTTTTGAATAATACCACGGCTTTTGATTCCGAAACAAACTAACAGACTTTTAAGCCGACAGATTAACAAACTCACACAGCGAATAGCTATAAAGCGATGCCTAACTCGTTTGGGCACCGCAAATTCAAGCGTACAATTCCAGAAATTAAAAGCCAAAAGCCCGACCGCTCACGAAAGCATTTTGGTAGGCGTATTGGCTATTATATAGTGTCTAGGTGCAAGGCAGATTGAAATAATAGCATTATATAACGTTAGCAATTGCTTATAATTATATACTAAAGCTCAATCACGTTTGTTCAGAATCTGAATCCTATATAGCTAATCCTAAATACTTAAATCTTTGCTAGCTACGATTATTTAATGTTCGGCCGTGTCAACTCTTGTCTTTACACGTCAATTTGCTTAATTAAAGCTCAAGCAATAGTTCCAATGGTTACATATACATATCCAGCAACACTGGATCGTGCTTGTTCTCCTTCATGTCCAAGTTGTCTTTAAGACGCCGAAGAATTGCATTAGCGAATTCTATACAGTTAGCTAAAATAAAACTATATTCCTTCGGGAAATCCCTCATGGATTCCTGGACCACCTTCCAGAGATCAAGCAAAGAAACATTTTGAAGGGTGCCTTCGTATGTAGGGAAAGAACCGTTTATCAACAAGTTTTTGCGAATATGAAGCATTTCGGTGAGATTATTATCTCGTGAAGAGCTCGACCCCGAACTACTCGAACCCGAATCACTCGAACCCGAATCACTCCACCCCGAACCACCGCTACTTTGGAACATGTTAGCATTGTTGTACATGTCGAATTGTAGAAAAGTGTTGGCCATATCGACTGGGCTTGTATGGGGATAAATTTCAGCAAAATTGAGCATCTTCTCCACCATTGCATTTGGTTGGGTTCGCTCGAGGATGCTTATTAGTTCACTGGGGATGTTGTTGCGTTGTCCAGTTTTCATCATTTTTCTGCAAAGGCCAGTTAAAGCATTTAAACGTCAGCTCAGAAGAAGTGTGGTGGAGAGAGTGGCATGGCCTTCCCTTTTGTTCGTATATACTAGGGTGCGATTTGAAACTGACCCATTGACGACACAGGTTTTTAATTGGGGAACAAACCTTTAAACCTTCGTCATGAGCATATCACTATAGTTCTTTCCTCCATTACCACCCAAACTACATGTTGCACCTTTTTCTGCTTATAGGCATAGTCAATTTCCTCGCAAATCCCGACAATGGAAATAGTTTCGTTTTAGGATACTATTAGGATACGGTATGTGTTCCTCTACATACCATATCGTCACGGTATATATATTTGAGTATTTGACTCATAATATCAAGTGTACTAAATTAGCTTCGCTTTGTGAAAGTAAAAGGTCGGAATTATAAACACATATTAAATATTTTAAGTTAGCGAGTTGTGCATGACCTCACGTGAAGACCACGCCCTTTTGTCGACAAATGCTATGTTCACCTCGAACTCCCCCTTCCATTTGCTTGAACTGACCTAGCCTAATTATGAGGCCCTGTTTTCCTTAACTGATCTGAATCAGGAGCTACAATCCAGGCCAAAACTGATGTGGACACTCAATCCATTTTTGCAAAACTCATAACAAACAACTAAAACTTGAATTTACACTCATATTCCCCACTCCCCCTCTTCAGTGTTGCATATCCGAATTATCTCCACTTTATTATTTGATAAAAAATCCTATTCAACATTGGCTTTGGGGAGCGGGGTGATAATTATTTAGAAAAAACGCCATTCGAGGCCAATGTCTGTGGGTTGTCCACGGCAACGTTTTGGCCAGGATTGTAGCTTGAACCTCCTTATACAATTGCACCAGGTAAGAGTTTCGTGAATCTTACCTGAAATAGAACTCTTCCGCATATTCGTAAGCAGGTACACGTCCTGCCTTGATTCTTCCATCCCCACCCTTCAACTGTTCTTGCCGGTGTTCCGCCGACAAGTCAAATCGGTGCAACACCAGTTGTTTGGACCTGCCACTTTGGTCCAGATAGACCATTATGAGTCCTTTGTGAACAAACGAGTGCGGTTGATCGATGTAATCTCCATACATACTAAAGACATATATTGTCAGCCTTCTTTTTTCCCAGTTAGGCCTGCTGATAGAACCGCTGGGTATAAAGACAATTTCTGGGTTAGAGTTACTTTGTCGGGCTTCGTCTTCCAAGGCTTCTTTAACCTATTGCAAAATAAGGTCACTATAATTAGGAGAATAAAGAGGTTCAGATTTGACTCCCACTCACGCTACCGCTACCATTCAGATGTTTTTGAACTATCCAGCCGTTAACTAATCAGATCCGTACTAAGCCCGCGAAGGGTAGCGGTAGTGGAAGTCAAATCTGAACCTCTCTAATGTCATTTATACTATATATACCACCTACAACACAACGTGATTGTCAGTATTCATGATAATAATATTATTTGGTTACATGCTATGATTTCTCCAGAGTCCACTTGAACCAGTCTTTCGCGCGATCTATTGTCGAGATCTCGATCGTGGTTAGCCTGCGTGCAATTCCAGACTCCCAAGGAAGTGCAGACTGCGCAACTTCGAACAAAAGCTTGCTACGCCCGCTTAGCCCGTTTTCCAGATTTTTTGGGAAAATAATTTATGCGAGGAATTAATACGCTAATGAGCTCAGTGATGTCCACCAGCATTTGCGTTTTATGCTTCAAATCGTTGTTAAAGGCAACATATATAAATTTGGTTAATGAGAAATGTAATGTTAATTCTGAACTGGATCGGAAGATTTGCAGTTTGTTTTGCAACGTTCGTCGCCATGTTGTATGAATAAACAGGCGCGGATCCAGCCTAAACCGTGACCGTGGCGCACTCCAAAACCGTCAATAATTAGGGGGGTCCGGGGGCATTCCCCCCCGGAAAATTTTTGAAATTTGAACCCCGGAAATGCCATTTCCTGCGTTCTGAGCATCGAATTCTATCATATAATTCGTCATTAATTACGCCATATTTTAGAGAGCAAATAACGAAACGCACTAAATAAGTCAAATATTTAAACAACATACCATGTTCTTCAACGTTACAACATTAGAATGTTACAAAATCAATGTACTTACATAAAACCACAACTCTGTACCGCATGTACTGTTCCTGTGTATTTCAGGTTCTTCGTAGCAAAAAATATCCAATTAGGGCTGTACATCGAACTCAATCATCTTGGCGTTTTAGTTGCAACGCAGGTCTTTTACGGGGTGGTTTTTTTCAGCTGCACATGCATCGATACCAAGTGTCTTATTCTCGATCATTCGCTTAAACTGTGTAGCACGGAAAGTTGCCGTTGCGTGAACATTGGATTTTTCACCATGCTGACATAGTTTCTGGAAAGCAGAAGCACTTGGAGGAAGAGCACTGGTCATCAATAGTTAGAGCTCGCTTGCATTATGCGTGCTTTCACTGCCAAAAAGAACACAAGTGACGCAAAAACCACCGTTTGCCACAGCAGAGTAAGCCAACCATGGAAATCGTGATAACCATGCCAACCGGAAACGTCTACCAATATTTTCGCGTGGAGGAAAAGAAAAATCAGAACCAAGTTTCCAATGGCAATGATTGCACAGAATTTCGTACTTTTTCGAATCAGGAAGACTGGACACCAGATTTACGTAGTTGTAGATATCATCTGGCCACGAATTGGTGGAAGTTCGTTGTGTTTTGGTGTTAGATTTTTCTGAAATAGGACCAGTGTTGGGAGTTACAGATGAAATTCCTTTACTAGTGCTGGGAAATTTGATTTCACTGTCTACAGTTTCTTGTGTGTTGCACGCTCGTTTCACAAGAAGCGAACCGATCTAAGCTAATTTGTTTTCTTTTTGGACCAGTCGTCTGCTTTTTAGTAAATGTAGTCACTTGTGTAGAGGAAGGAGCAGAAAAAACTTTAGTAGAAACTTTAGGAGAAACTGTAGGAGGAACTTTAGGATGAACTGGCATCGCAGACTTCAATAAGGTTGGAAGGTGTGCCTTAAAATAATGGTCTCGTGGCTGAAGTGCTTTAACTGGTTTGCACAAGGTAACAAAATGATTTTTGGTAGATAGAATTCTTCGATCAACCAAATAAGACGGTGGCATCGCAGCACAATGAAAGATATGGACATATCCAATTGCACTGCCATCAAGATAATCCCGTGGATATACTGTATTGTACAATTGAATCCAAGGAATCCCAATTTTCTTTCACTACAGTATCATTGGTGAGTGGGTAGAATGACTGAATGGCACACTGAATTACTGTGGGCAAGGCAAACATGCACACCATGGATGAGAATGTGTAATTTTTTGCAGTTTCCTTTGCTTCTTCTAAAACTGCTGCATTTCATTACAATTCTCGAAAAAAGTAAGAGCTGCATCAGATACACACATGGCAGAGGCATTTTTAAGTGTAGTGAACGCTATTACGTTTTTATGCTGGGACTCAATGAAGGAGTGGTTAGCATAGTATTTGGCATTCTCAAACAGTTCAATACTGGTGAGGCATCTCAAGTGAGCAGACAAACTCTCATTCCCGATTAACGCAATAGAACATGCATTAAAGAGACAATGAAGTACTGAAAGAATTTAAGCATTTAAGTATCAATGGTTATTTTATATTATTTTGTAAATATTCTATTGAAACTTTTAACCAGAATGTCAACTTCTTTGCACCACACAGTAATTATACTTTGCAAACTTCGCTCAAATTATCTGGAGAACAAATGTTATACCTTGCCATTTGAGAAATAGCAAGGAACCATTTGTTTTCCCAAATGTTTTCCCTCCTTTTGCTTGTATAATCATGGGTCTCGTTCCATATAACTTTGTGCCGAAAGGATAATTACTAGAATTAGTCAGGGTAACCAATAGAACTAGAGTTGGTTTTAAGGTAAGGACTGGAGATTAAATTTTGGAATCATTAATATGGAAATTGAGCCATAATCATAATTATTTTAACAATGAGGCCCCCTACAATGTCTTTGTGTAATTTGAGTAACATCATGATGACATCAAATTCACAGCTGGCCTTGACTAACTCATGGGATTTTGTTGCAGTTTTAGATTCGGGATTAGGTTTTAATGTCAGGATTAGGATCAGGATGACATCATCCACAACAACATCAATATTCATCCACAGCAAACACCTGTGAGGTAGTCACCCTCCAGGGGCCAGTTGTTAAAAATATTTGCTGTGTTGGTGTAATGTACTCTGGTGAATAAGATGCTTGTGTGATGTTATTAGAATGTTAGGGTTAGTAATCCAAGTGAGAATATATACATTTTAAGACCTAACCAGGAACAACTGCGAAAAATGCAGCACAAGGTCCTCTGGTAGGAAATGAACCTACGGCCCTGCGATTCCTACCAGAGGACCTTGTGCTGCATTTTTCGCAGTCGTTCCTGGTTAGGTCTTAAAATGGATACAGTATATTCTCACTTGGATTACTAACCCTAACATTCTAATATTAATTCCACCAAGTGAAGTGCAAGAATCCAAATTGTGTCATGTTACTCTGAGTGTATATCCACACCGGGCAGGCTTGAAAAATATGCCTGGCCACGGTGGGATTCGAACCTATGACCTTTGGCAAAGGCATTGGGAGAGCATTGGGCTAGTATTCCTTGGCAGATCATTGGGCTAGTATTCCAAAGGTTGTAGGTTCGAATCCCACTGTGGCCAGGCATATTTTTCAAGCCTGCCCAGTGTGGATATACACTCAGAGTAACATCACACAAGCATCTTATTCACCTGAGTACATTACACTAACACAGCAAATATCATGATTATTAGATTACACTGATATCGAAGGAACTAGACTCAGTTCCAAAGTATTGCATACTCAAACCGACCTGACCGCATAGCTCAGTTGGCAAAGCATTGGGCTAGTATTCCAAAGGTCGTAGGTTCCAATCCCACCATGGCCAGGCATATTTTTCAACCCTGCCCGGTGTGGATATACACTCAGAGTAACATCACACAAGCAATTTAGAAATATTTCTTCAGAAATCTTGTCTGGATGAATGAAAGTTTTCTTCAAAGCTTCGAAGTAAACAGGCATGCAGAAACACACAAACAAAAACACTAGGTTAAATTTTAACCAAGTATTAGCCATAGCTTAGAACAACCTACAAATATTAAGGCGCTATATTTAAAGCTTGGTGAAACCAAATAGACGACTACAGTATATAGACCCAATACAGAAGTAAACATTTCATTTTACAGTCGACAATCAAATGTTGTAGCCGTAAACTGTAGCAAAATACTGATAACAGTTTTAAACAGAGTTTTTACTAATATTTCACGACTACATAGCGGATAAATGCAATTTATATTTTATTAACCGCCATGTGTTCGAGATCATATTACTATTTCACTAACAAAAATTTACATACATACAAATTTGCATGCACAAATTTATATTCCCTGACCCCAGCGTAAATGCAAATTTAATATAAGTCGATTAAAAATTCTTACCTAACAGGAACATTAGGCCCAGATCTTTCAGTTTGGCTCTTGGAGAACTGCAGTTTTGAAAATTCGCACGTTGGCAGCACGATGTCGCCAGTAGATGCAACGGCGCAGCCTTTCTTCAGTGATAAATTCATCATATTGTTGCCTCAAGAGCGATAATTCCCCTGAAATATGTTCGCTTACGTTTGCTAGTTGAAAGATTTCGACGAGCTTGCTAAGAACATCGACTTTTTTTAAAAGCTTCCATCCTGATAGCATCCATGTAGCTTGTGATGTATTATTCTTTATCCCGTCAAGTCGACAAGTATCGAACTTTATTGTTGATCATTTGTATTGCGCAATCAAAACAGAGCCACCGTGGCAGACCGTGGCGCACATGACCACAACTTGCGCTGTGATTGGTTTGCAACGCTGCACCGTGGCAGAAAGTTACTATATTTAGTAACAATTGCACAATTTTTTGCATGCTGACCGTGGCATTTTGTGGCTGTGATCGCAGCTTCGAATTTACGACTGTTTTCCGAACATATTCGGCACAATTCGGCACGCTTTCGGCGTTTTTTATAGTTCAGTGTTTAACTGGATAATTATACTATTGAACAAGGAATATATTTCGGAAGTTTTTCCTGCTTTTAGCACATATTACTGTAATATGAGAACAATTACAAAAGATATTATTCAAATTGTTTGCTATAGACCTATATTTGCTCAATTTTGCTGTATTTCAAATAACTAATATATACTTCTTAAAAATGCGTAATGCAGTCTAATGCAGTATCCAACAAAGGTGAACCCCGGAAAATCCTGGGTGGGAAAAATCTGACCGTGGCTCGAGCCACTTTTGCCACGGTCTGGATCCGCGCCTGCTCCAGTACCGCAGTAAAGGAAATTTTGTATCAGTATGTACTTTGTTTTCACTGTTACTGAAATTGTTCAAAACATATAATGCCTTTGCATAAACCTAACAGTTAGTGACCTTTTTAAATGCATCTGGGCCTGAGGAGTTAAGAAAAATATATATAAAGAAAATTAATACGGCTATTAATAATTCTTTGTTTTATTTTTTTTTCAAACAGTCTACTAAAAATACTTTTTAAATCTAGCTGCCGATTGAGAAATATACAGTATAAAAATTTCTAACAGTTAACTTAGATAATTAAATCCGTTAGATAATTAATTGTGTTTAAATTGAGTTGTTGAATATGATGACAGTCATTATTGCTTTTAATTAATAACCAACGTTAAATGGCATAAATTATGGAACTAATTAGCAGTTATGTGCTGGTGATGTGTGTTTGTAGGTTGTAGCCAATCTCTGCCGAAATGACAATTCTATCCCCAAATATTGTGTGCACAAGGTAAAAGTCAATATGCTATTCAACATGCACGGTAGATAAACTATTTTGTTTATCTATTTAAAGGTCTTATCCACCATTGAAAAATGCCGGCGGATTCCAACTCCTTCTCTCAAAGGAGACGTCCAGAAAACAACTGCATGTTGTAAGCCATGGCAGCTGCGATGCTGAGCAGCTCGGATGCTGAGCAGCTCAGATGCTTTGGGACTGGTCGCATATACGTGCGACCTCTGCAGATAAGCATACCCTTGGCAGTCGGTGTCGACACGTCTCTGCAGCACGAAGAATGTTTGACCTGTCATCTGTCAATTCCTGTGAGCGAAATGCGACAACATTGTGAAGATTCTCATGTAAGTTACAGTATAGACTGCCATTATAGAAAGTGAATAAGTTACCGAATGCTGGGAACGTTAAATTCCATACCATGAGTTGCTAAATTATTTATCAACATATACCAAAATGTAGGGTTCAAACAGCGTTGATGAACAAGATTCAAATGAGGAAAATTACACTGTGCATGACAGGTAGGTTTCGTTGGTAAAAATAATATGCCCTTATACACTGCCTTGTATTAGATTTGACCAGCGTGCACGTATACCCCACACCTGTTTCATGAGGGGTCTATGCACATTAATTTATTGTGTTACACGAGAAATGAAGTGAGGGTGTACAGTTGGAATATTTCCCTTCAATACATAATCAAGTTTTCTTAACCTGCAGTGTCATTTTTCACTTACTATTTACTAACAGAGTATTTCCACTTGAACTAGTGCAACAAGGTATCATTGGTAATGTAAGACATGTAGAATATTAAGAAGATAGTTAGTACGGGCATATTTATTATTCTTACCATGCAATTAATTTTGCAAATTGTTTATGTCATTTGAAGATACTAGCATATTTTTTTGCCAATTAAAATTTCTATTAATATTATCAAGAGATATATTGATAGAGAAAACTTATATTTGATGTTCGTTGAGTTGTTTATTGCTGCTATTATTTATCGCTGTTAGATGACTTCATTATGTTATTTAGTCATCTTGATATGGATGAGGGAGATATCACGGTGGCGCCCCTGGAACGGTCATCTGACCTGAACCAACAGGATGAAAACAGTTCTGCTGAAGTTGTTCCGTCAACCTCCGCAACTGATGTTTTTGAAGCAAATGAGCAACCTGAGGTCGTAATAATTGATCAACCTGCAGTTGTTGAACAAAGATCAGATGATGCTGTTGCGGGCTGTGAACATGATTATCAAGATCAATTTAGAGATCCGTATGTATACTGTATAATACAGGCATGATGCTAGTGTTTTCGTTTTAAGCCTCTTCGTTATCTTTTAGAGAAACGATTCCATTTACAGAACATCCGAAATGCTGAGGTACATAAAAGAAAATTTGTGCGTCGAAAACAAGGAAGATGGTGAAGGCGGATATTTTCTTCACGATAACGTGATGGCGCGAACGAATCAATTTTACGTTGGAGATGGCATTATTTTTGGTATGAATTATTGTATTATATCGTAGTGTTATTTTTATATTTGGTTTGATTGAAGTTAAACACAGTTACTCGTTCGTTTGGCTTCATGCATAGCGAATACACTATTCACGTGTAGCATACGTTGGTTACATATTTGCGGTTGCACCGACGATGCTAATTTTGGTGTAGTTTTCTGTAGAGTGTGAGCACGTAATATTATGTAAACAATTAATTGTAAAATAAGCTAACGTCAAGAAAACCTGTTATATAAATTAGCCTACTTTAACTAAATATATTATTCTTGATCACTCGGACTCTGTTGTGACTATGTCTATGTTGACCTAAGAAGTACAATATAGTGTGCTCGGTACCTTACACACATAAATAAAATAACTAATCTGTTCGTTTTAGGTTACAGTCTACTTCAAGGAGGGCCATTACCTTGTTTTCTATCCGAAAAACAACTTCAAGCATTATTTGTCAGTGAAAGTACTGAGAGAAAACCATATGAAGCCCAATTCTTGGAGGGAATGGCCACTTTCGGCTTAACAAAGGTTTGTAATAATATGTAGTGATATATAGTTTGTGCTGTTCAGAACTGATGTAGCTTTGACGAGTTTGGGACCATGCTAATGGGGAAAAATGTGTTTATCTTATGATATACAAGTTATATGGTTATTGTAACTGTAACCAGATTTGGTAAATTAATGTACTTTTGGTAAAATTTTATAATTCTCTGAATTATTTAGAAAAAACGTTTTGGTAGATTTTTAGTGAAATTTGCAAAACCAAAGTATTTCAATCAAGCACGGGCGCTCAACTTCCACTGCTACTTCCTTCTGCAGCGTTTAGTGTAGTGGCACGCTTCGTCACGAGGCGGAGTAAAACACGTGTTATACAACAGGCTGCGTCTACGTTAGTTCACCTTGTATACTGATCGATGCATACAACCAAGTTGGGTTTTTTTTTGCAGCTGGCAGAAGAGGATCAATAACTTTAGAAAACATTTTAAAGTTCGCTACAGCTGGTGAAAATGAGCCTGTTCTTGGTTACGGAGTTGAACCAACAATTGAATTTGTAGCCACTGATTCTGCATTCCCAACTGCCAACACATGCGTGAATAAGCTAACTTTGGTCATTGGTGAAAAGTTGCCAACAGATCAGGAAAGAATGTTCTCCATTTTCGACTTAAGTTTTGTTAATGCACACTTCGGACTAGTCTGACCTATATAAAGGAAATTTACACATTACTCATTAGTTATTTACATTATTTACTCTTCAATGTTCCAGTTAATGGATCCATGTTCTATATATGCTATATATATATATATATGCTATATATATATGCTATATATATATGCTATATATATATATGCTATATATATATATGCTATATATAAATATATGCTATATATATATATGCTATATATATATGCTATATATATATATGCTATATATATATATATATGCTATATATATATATGCTATATA